GCGGGGGGGGAGGGAGGGAGGCAGAGAGGGGCAGGGGCATCCCCAGGCTGGGATTTTCCTGCTGCATCACCCCCTCGGCTTTCCTCTCCCTGCGGGAGCCAGGAGCTCCCCTCACCTGCCGGAGAGCTGGCAGGGGGAGCTGGGCCGGCCGGGGGGTCCTGGCGGTCTCGGGGTTTAAGCGGGTGCCCCTTGCCGCAGATGCTCCCAGGCCCCGCAGTGATCCCAGCCCCCTTCACGGCCGGTCGTCGCTCGCGCGAAGGCAGAGGTCGGGGCCCGGAGGCCGCAGCTCTGATTTTGCATCTGCACGGAGGCTGGAAGCCAGGACGCCCGGGCCCTTTCCCCGAATCAGGGGTGCTGGACTGGGCGCGGCCGGGGGCCAGGACCCCGGGGCTGTTCCCCCCGGGGCACGGGCCCTCCCTGTCCCCTGCTCCGTGCTCTCCTCCCCGTGGGTCACTGAGCCGAGCCCCGGGGCGTCTGCCCTCACGACGTGCTGCTCTCTCCCTTGGCCCGCTGCAGGTCTACGCCCCGGGGGGGCAGCTGCGCCACGTCCTGGGCACCCGCGACCTGCGCCACCGCAACTGGATGCGCTATGTCTACCCTGCCCCGGGCACCACCGCCCAGAGCCCGGCGGCCTGCCAGCACCACCGGGACATCTACTTCTACACGCTGGCGCCCATCGCGCCCGGCGCCGAACTGCTCCCGTGGGCCGGCCGCGAGGTCGCCCAGCGCCTGCAGCACCCGGCGCTGGCTGCCAAGCTCGGTGAGGGGCGGCGGGGGGAGCGGCTTGCCCCCGGGCACCTGGTGTCTGAGCTCCACGGTGGGGCAGCTGCCAGGAGGGGCCTGTCCCCTACCCGCCCTCCTGCTCCAGGCGCCCGGAGTAATGGGCTCTTGCTTCTTCCCTGCAGAGCCCCAGGGTGTGGGCAAGCCCTGCCTGGAGCCAGGCTCGGAGCAGCTGGCATCGGCGGGCACCCCGGCCTGCCACGACCTCGCCACCAAGCCCACAAAAGAGGAGGAGGAAGAGAAGCGTGCAGACGTCCGAGGGCTGGGCAGGGGCACGGGAAGCCGTGCCGTCTGGCCCTGGCCCCCGGGGCTCGGCTTGTCCCACGATGCCGCTGGAGAAGCGGCTGGGCCCGCGTGCCAAAGAGACGGGGACGTCCCGAGCCAGCCGGGCCTCGGCCCCTGCCCCTGCGGCCTCGCTACCTCACCGCGCCCGGAGCTGCAGCGGCACCTCGGTGGCCTCTCCCCCGCCTGCCCGCTGTACTGGCCCCCCGGGTACCTCTACGCCTGCAGCCCCAGCCTAGCCCACTGCCCCCGGGTGCTGCTGGTGCCTCACGCCTCGCCCTTCCCACCGCCGCCCGCACCGAGCGGGGCAGGGCAGCCCTCCGCCTTGGGGCTGCCTTCCCAGGGGTACGGCCAGGCCCTGCGGGAAGGCTTGGTCCCATACCCCGGAGCCCACCGGACTGTGCCACCGCTGCCCCTCGGCAAACAGGACGACCCCCAGCTCCAGGAGCCGGGCTCCCTCGCCCTGGGCTCCGGGCTCCAGCCGTGCCTGCGCCCCGGCGCAGACGCGGACGCTGCCCCCCGCGCCAAAGCACAGCCACAGAGACCTACCTCCCGGCTCGCCCTCCAGCTGGATGCCGTCAACCTCAGCGTGCCAAAGACTCGCCCCCCGGACCCCCCGCCCGCGGCCTTGCCCCCGAAGAAGCAGAGCAGCAGGCCCAAATACGAGTGCAACATCTGTGCCAAGACCTTCGGGCAGCTCTCCAACCTCAAGGTACCGGGAGTTAGGAGACCGGTGTTCAATTCCTGGCTCCGCCTGGAGCTGCTCGGTGATCTCTGCCACCGCCCTGTGGCCGTGCCTCGGTTTCCCCCAACCCAGTGGGGCTCCCCCTCTGTGGAGGGCTTGGGGGTGCTTGGAGGAAAAGCAGCTCTTAGGCTTTGTCTTCGATCTAGCAGTGCCCCAGACCTCCTCCATACGGCCACGTGCCACCCGCTTCCCTGCTGGGGTGGGGGATGCTCGGGGCTGAAGAGGTGGGGGCCGTTCCCCTGGACAGCGGGTTCGGGTGGCCTGGAGCACCCTCCTGGCTCGTCTCTCCAGCGTCTTCCCTCTCTGCCCTCCCCTCCCCTCCCCGCGTCCATCCGTGTCTGCCCTCCCACCCGGCCCGGCAGGTCCACCTGCGCGTGCACAGCGGGGAGAGACCTTTCCAGTGCCCCGTCTGCAAGAAGCGCTTCACGCAGCTGGCTCACCTGCAGAAGCACCGGCTGGTCCACACCGGCGAGAAGCCCCACGAGTGCCTGGTAGGGGAGCCTCCCTCCTGCTCGCACCTGGGGCTGGGGACCGGGACCCCCGCCAGCCCACTGGGGTCGCATCAGCGGGGCGGGTGCAAGCGCCGAGACCGTCCGGCTGCGGTTGGGGGGGTGGGGGGAGAGCTGGAGGGGTGAGGGTCCTCGGCGAGCGGCAAGGAGCAGGCGCGCTGCTGCGGCCGTGTCACACACATCTCTCTGCTTCCCCCTCCCAGGTCTGCCACAAGCGCTTCAGCAGCACCAGCAACCTCAAGACACACCTGCGGCTGCACTCGGGCGAGAAACCCTACCAGTGCCCCCTGTGCCCGGGCCGCTTCACCCAGCAGGTCCACCTGCGGCTGCACAGGCGCCTGCACGAGCTGGAGTGCCAGCACCGCTGCCCTCGCCTGCACCCGCTCAGCCTGGTGCTGCACCAGCGCGCCCGCCACCCCCGGCTGCCCGGCGCGACCCACGACTTTGGCCCGGAGGGTGAAGGGGCCGACGCCAGCCAGGCCGCGGGGCTGGTGGACAGTCTGCTCCTCGTGGACAAGGCCTCGGGCTCAGCCCTGTTGCCCCTGCCCCGCTACGGGCTGCCCGTCAAGCGGGAAGCCTCCCCCATGCAGCCGGCCTGAGCCCGCTGGACTCCCTCGCTGCTTCCTTCGGAGGGCTGGGGGGTCTCGGCCCCCCTGCAGAGCCGGGGACAGGGCTCAGCGGATGGATGCCGGGGGCAGGGGCAGCACTATTGCTCTGCCCTAGTCTGCGAGGGGCCCCGCGGCCCCAGCCCTATACAGAGATACCAAAAACAGCTGGGGATGCCCCCGACCCTTTCCAGCTCCAAAGCAGCCTCAGTGCCAGGGGGCTCCGGCAGCCTCCTCTGCCACCCTCGGTGGGGGTCTTCAGGGAGCTGCCCCCCAAGTGCCACCAGGCCCAGGGTGGTTTTGATGCCCTGTGCCCCCAGGGGGGTGGGGGTGGCAGGCGCATTCACCCCAATCTACAGAAAGAGCTTTAATCTCTCCTTGCCCCCGCAGCTGGGGGCTGCCTCGGTACAAGTCAGGGCGCCGCCTTGGCCCATAAAGAGCTTCAAGGTCTCGGCTGCAGGCAGGCGCCCCCTCAAGGGGGGTCGTCTCCGGGCTGGCGGGAGCTCCCTGCCCAGCCTTTGCCTCGTGCGAGACGGGCGTGGAGCAGAGTGGAGGAGTCGGGCCCGGGAAGATGGCAACGTGGCGGGGGGCAGAAGGGCCCGCTGCGGCCTGTGCCCGTGCGTTGCACGCCCCCGAGCTGCCGCGGCGCTGGCTCGTGCACAGCTCCTAGCGCGGGGCTGGAGGAGCCGCTCCCAGGCCAGCCCCGGCACTGCCGGCTCTCCGCAGCTCTTCTGTCTCGGGGACGCCCCTTGCACGTCCTGCCTGCGCCCTCCCGAC